CGTCAAACTCTCCTATTGCGAGTTTGAGACATTGGTACCGGGAACTGAATAAGGAGGTGCGTTCTCCAAACATGCTCTTGTGACATTGTACGGTTTTTCCAAAAGTGAGGTCGAGAGAGGACTTTGGGTGGATAGTGTCCCAGTAATTCTTCAATTCGGCTAGGCCCAGTTTGCGAGTAAGTTCTCTGACGTTCCATTCGTCATCATATTAAGCGAGATGAACTCGGAACAGGTCTTCGAAATGCCAATGCCAGGACTCAAACGTTGCGCCATTTTCCGGATCATAGGAAAACTCTGAGATACTGTTGGTGAGGCTGTCAAGTGACGGCGTACTGACAGAAGTGGCCTGAGACGACTGGCGATCTGCCAGCATTAACATTAGCCGCTCGAGTAATTGTTCCACCCCTACGTCACTCATCACAAGAACAATCTCACCTGCGTCGCCAAATTTGTTACGTTTGCTTGTAAATATAGAGAATACCACTCAAATAACGGTACCAGATCCCTTGCTGAAAGCTAGAACCAACCTTCCCAGGCTAATGCCAGAACAGGACCAAAGCTCAAGTAGAGAGCTTTATTCACGTGAGCCACGTGCGGAGAAGAAGTGAAATCGAAAGTCATTCAAGTCAAGTTTGACCTTGACTTGATAAAAGCGTAACAAAACAAACGTTAATAAATTAATGCAAATGGAATCGGAAACCAATCTTAGGGGATCGTGCTAAAAATTGCAATGCTGTGTGTCCATCGAAGAAACAGCCTCCAGTGGCAAGTGTGCTTATCACCAACGCCATCCTGAAGCTCGTTGGTCTGGATTGCCTCGTACCATTGGGTTTACCTGGATCCCGAATAGCTACATCTCCAATGCCCAACACTTGTCGAAAGCATCCTACGAGAATATCGCGGACATCGTAATTCACTTCAGCAAGGTTTTCCAACCTGGATTGGGACACTGATCTGCGACACAGGCCGTAAAGATCTGCTCTCTGCGCATTGTTACCTCCGGTTGACGTTGGATTTAGACGTTTAGAACACGAAAGCGTCCTATCTCCGGTTTTATAATTGGCCTAGGTGTCACAAATCTTTGTGATAAGGAATGCCAATGGTTTAATCAGTTTACGCGCAGACGTCTTCACTGGACTAAATGCAGGTCTTTTATAACACAACTTTCCTCTACCAGCCCCAGAAGACCTATTAACAAATTTGATTAGCAGGATATTTCTCGAATCTGCCTATGTACATGTAGAGGTCGCTCCTGAGTCCCGCCGACCTCCGATCATTAATAACCCACGCAGCTTATTCCAATACAACCACCTCCCCTTCGGAGTCGAGAGTGCTCCTGCTATTTTCCAGCAATTCAAATACACCGTTCTCGCCGGCATTCCTGTAGTGGCTGCATACCTCAATGACACACTAATTGTAGCTAGCTCGCGAGACGTGTTACCTGAGAGGATCTAAGAGGCCCTACAAAAGATATTAAATAACGGACTCAGACATTCCAAGAAAAATGTGAGTCCTTCCTTATTTCAGTCAAGTATTTCAGTTTCAACATTGACAGCTCTGGCCGGCATCCGGATTCTGAGAATATCAGGGCTTTTCAACAAGTGCTGACTCGGAAAAATGTTCTTCTACTGCACACCTACTTGAGGCAAATTATCTACTACTCAGCTTTTCTACCGTCATTGCACAATGTCCGATCACCACAAAATCACTTGCGGGGAAATATCATACCTTGGGTTGTATATACCAGTTGATGTTGTCAGCTGCCGCCTCTGCTAAGGAGTACTGGAGCCGTCATCGTGCACGTCTTTTCTGACGGCGCAGAAAAGGCCATAATGCACGCATTCAGGTCGGTTACAGCAAGAGAACAAAGTTCCAGACACATTGAGAAGGTAGCTCTTGATTTGCATTTCGCTGTCCGCCGTTTTTAAACTAATTTATGGTGATCGATTCACATTACTGACCGACCACAAGCTGCTCCATTCCATTTTACTATCAAAAACAGGCATTCCAATTTACTACGCGAATTGCTTGCAAATGCATGCAATTGATCTTTTGGGCTTTGATTTAAAACTCCAGCACCGTCGCACGGAAGATTTTTGTCATGCAGGCGCCCTATAACAGCTCATCGGTAACCAGCCCACCACAAAGGGAGATGCCGTCATCACAGACACTTGCATCGACGAAGGCATCAAACAGTAGATATCTCAACAACTCGTTCTGTGCCGGTTTCCATTTAGGACCTCAAACTTGATTAAATGCAGCTCTTTAAAATTACCACTATTTTATGACAGGACCAAGAGACGATGTTCACAATTCTGAGTGGCCGAAGATACTTCACAAAATTTGACCTGGCCGATGCCTACCCGCAACTAGAAGTCGCTCCAGAATCCCGCTCTCTCTTGACCGTCTACATTCATCGCGGCTTATTTCAATCCAACAACCACCTACCCTTCGACATCAAGAACGCTCCTGCTATTTTAAGTATTTCATGCACGCTATATTGGCTGGCACTCCTGGAGTTGCAGCATACCTCCACGAAATACTATTGTAGCTTGCTTTCGAGACGAGTCACCCAGGACCATTTCAGAAGTCCTTAAATTAATGCGAGACAACACACTCAAACCTTGCCAAGGAAAATGCCAGTTCTTCCTTATTTCAGCCAAGTATTTAAGTTTTATCTTCGATACCGCTGGCGGGCATTCCTATTATGTGAATATCAGCACTATTTCCACAAATGATGACTCGGAAATATTTTGCATCACTGAGATCCTTCTAGGGACAAATCTACAATTACACAGCTTTTCTGCAGTCAATGCCCAGTGTCCGACTGCCACTGCATCACGTGCTGGTAATGGACCTACCTTGAGTTTGTGCAACCAATTTGAATCTGCCTTTCATCGACCCATATCAGTGTATGCATCGGACTTGTTGCTGACCCATTATGATCCATGTCTACCAATTGTTGTTGCAACTTACGCCTTGGCCATCGGCATCAAAGCTGTCATCACCCACGTCACGTCATCATCCCGACGGCACAGAAAAGGCCTTAATGAAGGCATCCGGGTCGGTGACAACGACAGATCAGCGTATGGGCAGATCGAAAAAGTTGCTCTCATCTTGTCTTTTGTTGTCCACTATTTCCATAATCTGATTCATGTCGTACGATTCACTTTACCGACCGACCACATACCGCTGCTCTTCTTTTTGCATCAAAAATGGTATTACAATTTACTACGCGAATCGCTTGCATAGGTAGGCACTCATCGTATTAAGCCATGGCTACGACTAACAGTATCGTCACACAGAGGTTTTTGGGTAGGCAGACGCCCTATCACCGGTCATCAGTAACCAGCCCATCACCAAAGAATATGCCGTCATCGCCGATACCTGCGTCAAATAAAGTATCAAACAACAGATATTCTAAACAGTACGTGCGATGCCGGTTTCGATTCCCGACATCGAACGGGATACGGCCTTGAACAATACACTACGGTAGGCCATCCGTTAAGTCCTAGGAGAATGGACAAAACGCTCTCCCACCGGAGATCGTCAGCATTTGTTCCAGCGACGCGATTCGCTCTGCATTGAAGATGGCTGCTTGGTGTTCGGAGAACGCGTTGTGTTGCCTATATCACTACGCATTTTATCAATGTCGTTCTGGCCCTACCGGCATCGGTCGCGTGAAATCTCTAGTACGTAGCTACATTTACTGGCTAGAAGTGGATCAGCGAATTGCAGACCTAGTCAAGAGTTACCGCCAATGCCAGGAGGCCACTAAGTACGGTTAAAATACCCACTACCACAAATAAGCTGCCCTTACTTGACATCGCGCTGTGCTAGAGACTTCCTACGAAATGAACCCCAATTGCTGAATTTGTAGATTTGCTAGAAATAGTTAAAGCATCACCCACGTTCTCTTTGACAATGGTAGCCAGTATCAAACAACACGTCGTGCTGCACAATCCCACCAGCCACGTTACCTTTGAAGTAAGTCAGAACAAGTTGTCAAAGCATCAAATCGGAAATGTTGAGTATGTATGAAGGCATGCATGAATGGGTGATACAAAAACAAGGACATAAAGAGGGCACATATTCGTGAGTAAATAGCATTTGGTCTACGCACTGGCGATCTGCCGCAATTTCAAGCCGATTATTAAAATTGTCATCAGTGTTCCATCGAATAGGGATTAAAGAGTATAGCAAAAACACATACGGAAGAGCAATGCTGGAGCGATGAAAACATTAGGGCAAATCGCGCGAAAGACGCAGAATGTCTAGATGTGGATAAAGTGGCATTGGTCGCCAAATGCACAATATCCCATTCGCGCGAACATCCTGCATTCACGCGTGCGATACCTAGGGTGATCTTGTGGTTGCCGCAGTTCATTGATTCCGTGAGCAAACTGACAAAATTCACCCAATATGCATGAGCCCTGGCGTTCATAATTTCTACAAAGTTTGGTCTTATATAACACATTCCTCTCTGCGTTCATGCGCCACGCGTTTCGCAAAGCATACATTTTTCTTTGTCGTTGTCGTTGAGACGCACTAGGTGACCTTGAAGGACTCTCCGAATTCTGCATTTGGTCGTTCCCACATCCGAGGATGGGTTGATTTGTTGACGCATTTTGTGCAGCCCGCAACTGATCGGACGACGCCCGTTGCGCAGGATTCCTAGTTGAAGACTCGTAAAGTATTATGCTTTAAGACCTACCCTGCTGCCATATTGAGTCCATCCGAGTGAGTCTGCAGCAAATCGTGAAGAATAAGTCGTATCAAATTTGGATCCGGGTTGGGCGGACCCTCTCCATTCCGTATTAATTCTAGAGATTCTCGGAACACACTCCAGAATGACCCCTCCTCATCCATCGCAAGTATCGGCGAATAACGCTTAGCGATGTTGAGCGACTGTGCTTATATACTGTTTCGTGAGGTGTTATCGGAAAAAGCGTGTTGGTTTGCCCTCGATTTGCCAATCACAACTCAGGTATCGTGTGGCTCTCACTCAGCGAACACGCATTACGAAATCGTCGATTTGCTCCCCCCGTCCTTTCGTACCTAAGGAAGGTGGGAACTTTGTGCTCACAGCCAGAATTTTTTGCAACAAATCGGCTTTTTGCCACATTTGGAGGAGACTTGTTAGGTGATAATCCAGTGTTACTCGATTGCAGTTGTTTCTAAAATATGCCGATTTTTGCTCACTTATCATAATCTACGCTAGTCCAATCACGATGACATTGGTACTTTTGCCTTGTTTACTATTTTGCAGCAATAGACACAAGGAATTTCGTACAGACACCGACGGAGATGAAGTGATAGCGTTTAATCACGTATTACGGGTGAGGCTGGCATGAAGTATGGTCCAGTAATGCAAGAAAACTTGGCGTCTCTCCTGCCACCTGCTTAGGAGACAAGATCACTGAGGTTGTTCCTAAGAACTGACAATGCACATGCAATTTCCTGTGCACCTAGGTGAATACGGCCTGACCACATTCAGGTTTGAATATCAACATCATCAGCTGTTTCAACAAGGTCAGTACGATGTCGAACAATAAGAAGGATACGGACATTCTTGGGATGCTATGTGATAAGTTTGAAATTGTTTATGTGACTGCAGAACAGGGGTTGTGGTTGGACCTTTTGAACCAGATTTCCACTAATATTTAAAGCCTTCAATCAGGGTGAACATGGCTGCTTCAATTTTCGAATTCCCTTTGTTTTCGCAGGCTCTAATACGTTCGCAGTCTGTGGATTTGGTAAACGCCTACATAAACCATGATCTTCATTTCACGATGACTGCATCGTTTTCTGAACTACATACGTAAGACATACATGGGAAACTGCCATTGTGGTGAATTCACGAGTGATTTGCTTCGCGATGCACGTCCATACCTTTCACTTTCGCGTCATGGCTCAAGTGTAGAGTTTATTTCGTCTCTGAATCGCCCTTCATCAACTTGTAATGCCTAGATGCTTTGGCAATACCTTATGACCCCCCACTTAACAGCCAATAACTACTCGATGATAGGGGAAAAGAGTCGACAGAGAACCCGACCGTTTGCTGATGTCATCCCAGGCTGGGCTTTTTGTGCGTTGTGCACGTGTGCGTAACAGGCGAATGCTGAAAAGAGCCAATAACCAAAGTGAGTTTAATTGGCACATGCGGGCATTTTAATAGAGCCCAATGCAATTCAGTCGTGATATTCGGTTGGAAGACTAAAACAATGGAGGAAGGCTAGCTTCGTCAGGTCGAATACGTGGTGTGCACCTTCAAGACCAGTGATTTTATGGACTCTTTAGTTTGCAAATCCAATGTATTGGGCGTTATATCGCGTTGTATATTCATGATCAGCTCTGGAACGGTCGAAAATTGACTTTTTAGAATCTGAAAGGATTTTACCAGTAGCTGCTTCATTGGATGTTGTGATGATTGTTTTTTTTCTTTTTTACCCTTAATTCTGTGACAAGTGCCCAGAATTCGGCCTTTACCCTAATGCAATTCACTGGCGTTTGTAAAGGAAGCATAGCAGTGTCTCTGCGCCTTTTCGTGGGCGGAGAAGTGTTAGATGTTAGATGTTTTGTGACACACCTTGACGTTGAAGAGGACACCTCCGAGACAGAATGCCATCCTCTTAATGACCACACTTCAAACGACAAAAAAACAGCACACACACGTCTAACAAACCAACGACGATTATGAGAATTTACAATCGTATTGTGCTTTGAACCGCAACAATTTCCGTGACTGAAGGATTATTATTGTAGCACGTTTTTGATGCGAATTATTTTGTATTGAACTACAATCAAAATCATGACAAATGAGAAACGCGAGCAGATTTTTATCTCTCCACTGGAACAAGACAATTGTCTATGAAAAATTATATTTTTGAAACCACACATTCGGATTTCCTATGGCATGTCTATGGTTCTACTCGCCAGCTAATTTAAGCCACGATAGCTACGGTCCTTGCAACTAAAGGAAGTAATTATTAAAACTTATCCTACATGTAATGTTTTTAGCGAAAATATTCACAATAAAAAATTCCCCCGTCAGCGCACAAAGCTTAAATAAGACTTGTGAGTTCACGCGTACCACAACCATGGGGGGACACGGTAAGCGTCAAAACATCACGAATTGTCAAGCCTATTTTTAACCACCCCCCCCTAAGTTAGACCTCACTCCGCCTGGCACCCCTGTACGACCGAACATCCGCTTGTATGTTAACTGTTGGCAGTCCTCTTGTAACCTAATCCTTAAATCCTTACTGTTTGTCGCCCCCTTAATCTTCGCATGAGTCATGGCCGTTCATTTGCTTTGGCTTTGACTGGAGACCGATACTAAGGGACCAAACAAACCATCAAATAGAAATATTAACCCTTTTAATATAGATGATTAGAATGAGGTAAATTTGACTGAAATGCTAACTGAGCCACCTGATGCTGACAGTGGCAAAAAAAGATTGCCATGCATGCAATCGACTAGCGCATATTTGCAGCATCAGCAAACTGTAAACGTGCTTTCGTATATTAATATTCTGAATGACGTATGTAAGTGGTCACAAGACAGAGGCCAGGAACACCAAATTGTGACACTGCCATCCCTTCCCCTTGAAATGGAAACCTTTTGCCGTTTTTGCTTAAGAAAGAACGCAATTAATGTTCTAAAACGATTTCAATGTGTCAAAATGGACAAATTACTCTCTTAATTAATGACTGCGATCAGAAATTTACAGAAGGAGAAGCCGAAGTTTAGTGAAACGCATTTCATACCACTTGAGAACTTAACGCTTTGCAAACTATGACGACATGGTGTAGGTGGCCAGTGATCACATTAGAGAGAAACCAATTTCCAGACTATTTGACATTCGAATTCTGAATGCCCCGAAGAATAAGCATTCTAATTACATGCACTGTTTTTATTTAGAAGGATGCAAATCAACGGAAGAAAGAAACGCTAATATTTAACTGCATCTCCCCAGTTCACTACACACGTAGTGTCGAGGTAGTGAAATTGAGTCAAAATTGCCAAGAAACATCATTGTGGAAACTCAAAATGTGATTAAAAATTTGCGCCTGTGGCCACAGGCGTTGCTAGAGCATATATAATGTATTACTATCGATGGTACTGCACTATCAACTCACCTTATCGCCTTATTTCCTTCTTGAGTCGTAAATTGCTAAGCAGGACATATTTCGCAGGAATGTGAAGGCCAAAACGTGTTTTGACATGTAAGAAAGCCCGCGATTAATGCGTCATTTTAGACCGCTTGCACGTAGGTGCATTAAAAAGAAACTGCCCACCAGAAAGCTGACACATGACAAGTTTGCAGTAGAATATGTAGGTTGCAGAGGTAACGCCAAAGTATAAGTGTAATGTTTAAGTTTCTGTTGGAAGCTCAATCGCAGCAGTTCCAGTTGACCAATGGATGAATCTGTTTAGTTTAGCGATTTCGAAACATATTTTCCCAAAAAACCCCGAATGTAGCTTCGCGACTGGTGGCTATCGTCCACACACCAATGTGGTGAGACAAAAAACCGCCTATTGAAAAGAACAAACGGAAATTTGATACACAACCGGTTTTCAAGATCGACAGGACTCAACGAATAACACTTTAATGACGCCTTATCTAATAGGCAAATTTTTATTCCGTGGCACATCTTGCTGAAGAGGCGAGCCTGCTTTTTTTATTCTTGAGGATTCATTCAACATCGGCCTACTCAACATTCCGAGTAGCATTACAATCAAAACTTTGAAGGTTACACAGACAAAGGATGAAACGTAGGATGAGGGAAGCAAAAGAGCTTCTCAGCAGCGTTTCCTCCAACAGCCAATATGACTACATTTTGAAATGCACTCATTCTAACAAGCGCACACCCCGATGACCTGGCAACCACTCCTTTTTTTTGTTTCCAGTGCATCTTCTGTGACAAGCTCGACAAACCAATTGCAATCAAGGCCAACCGTGAGCCAGGCCAGAAGCACCAATTTGGGATCGTCATCCCTCCATTGTGGAAGATACGATCTCTCGGTGTACGAGAAAATCACCTCAGCTGCTACATGCACTAACTTAAGGCGTTTAAATGTGAATGGATATTAGTTACATCCACGGTGGGATAAACGATCGAAATAAACCGTCTCTAAAACAACACAGTCAATTTAGAACAGGCCGTGATACGCCCGCTGGTCAAAGAATTAGGTGAGCTAGTTCACAGTGTGAATGTGCTTGAACGGACAGGCAATGCACAGATTTAAGATGACCAAAATAATCAGAGTTGGGGCTACTTCCAGCGTAACTTTGCCCACATAAGTTAGTCAGAGGTAAAAGAACTTATTTTGGACAAGCAAAACTAAGCAACCTATGAGTAGTAATGCAACCAAATACCCACATACCTAAAGTCGCATTAGAATTTGACGAAAAAATTTATCATTTTCGCTACCAGGTAATTGAAAATGGCATTTGACACGGTTTCTTACATGACGAAACAAAATTAAAAAAAATTTCTTTATGCTATGACTTCGATGACGTTGTTGGCTCGGGAAACTCGCAGTTCCCGAGCCAACAACGTCATCGACAAATATGGTACATCCCGTCCAGCGATTTGAAATGCTTGTCCACTAAGGCGTGGGGCACTGACCAGAACAAATGGTAGTCAACTAAGGCCAAGTCTGGTGAGTTTGCCGCGTGTGTAGGAACTTCCCACTCCAAGTTCAGGAGATTCCTCCGAGATCCAGCGCTGCCATGCAGTAGTTCGACGTGCACAGCGCCATGCCCACTAAATGACCTTTTCTGGTGACGTTGGTCTTTCCATTTTTTCACTTGTTGGCTGCAGCATTCCACCGTCAGACCAGCTTCCAGGAGTTGGTACTAAAGAACGCCCTTCATTTTCCAGCAAATACACAGGAAAGGCGTCTTCAAGTGTATGTCCTGTTTCAGCCCAGGATCTACCTACGACTTTAACGCCCGCAATTCTCGTACATAAACCTTTCGTCACCTGTCACAATTTTCGACGCGAGTCATTCGTTGTTGCTGGCGGACAGGCAGCGAATGGCATGTCTTCACATGTCGACCTAGGATGTGTTCGGTCAACACAAGTGGGGGAGCCAAAGTCCAAGTCCTTGGACTTTCCCATTTGGCGCAAACGCTGAGGAATAGCTGCCTGGGAGTTTTCACCCAGTACAGCTTGCGCACCGGCATCCTCAAAGTTTCAAAGCCGCCCAGGGCACAGCCGATCACCAAGACCGCAATGACCACGTCTAAAAACTTTATACTGATAAGTGCACACGAAGAACCGCAATGCAGTTCGTGAGCACCGTAACCGTACGTAAGTTCCTCAAAACCAGTTGCCCAAAGAGAGAAATGCCACATCACCTAACAATTTTACATAGATATGGCCAATCCTGCTAACACGACGACGAACGCGCAATAAACACAGACGATAATTACGTCACGCCGTACAAGGGGAGAGAAAGGCTTACGAATCTGGAGGACGTGAAAGTTTGCAATCACGTTCTCATATAACGCAACATTTGAATCCCACTGGGCATCATTTGGAGATGGAAAAAAATCAAACACGCGCTGACTCAACTTATTAGCAAATGCAAATGTCGAATATATAAAACGTGACAGCTACAAAATACGCAATCTTGTAGAAGCCGCGCACACACAAAAACAGTCTAGTAGCCCATATTGGAGGGTGGAGGCGGCGGTGGTCGTGAGCCCGGAGGAGGCGGAGGCGGCGTTATGCCTGGTGTGGGCCCACCACGGCCGAATCCATGGGATGGTGGCGGCGGTGGCGCTCCTCTGGGCTGCATCAGACCTGGGGCTGGCACACCAACGCCCCACGCAGGTCCAGCAAGCCCTGAAGGAGGAGCAGGTGGGGGGATTGCGGCACCCGGTGTAGCCAAAGGCATCCCACGACCTATTGCACGACCAACACCCGGCGGAGGTATACCCATCATCCCCATTCCCGCACCTGGTAGCGGAACACGAGCTGAATCTTCTGGTGGGGGAGGTCCATCCACATTCATACTTACCTACAACAATATAGGGAGAACACTATACACTACTGTATACTTGAAGTCACGAAAAGCGAAACAGGAATTGGCAAAAAAAAACATGGGAATCAACTTTGAAATACTCCACGAATGGACTAATATGTACAGCGGTAAATAACTACAAATGCGACGTAAAGCCAGGCCAGATTATGAAGCCAAATTAGCTTTACCGAGTACGATTTTAGTGACAAAAATTAATCGAACCGTAAAAAGAGACCAAGGATTGAGGATGGGCTGGTATACATTCGACCAGCGAAAAGCACAAACCAGGAGAGCTAAAGAAAGCCCCAAGACAGCCAGTGAAACAAATAATAGCAAAGATGCAAAAACTAAGTCAAAAAGCTATTTTGACATTTACGGTGGATTATGCAGCACAATGATAGACGAGTGAAATAACACTGAAATGAGTGAGTGTTTAACTCACGATATGCTCTCCGCGAAGAAGAACCAAACCAAGCGACCGTTTTTCCTGACGGGCCTGCTTTGCGTTCCGATTTTTTACGGTGCGGAATTCATCACAATCACACAGCACAAGGTTCATGTGCCTGTCAAAGGCCTTAAATGTGCCAACTAGCTGCCGACCATCTTGTAACGTACAACGTATTCGGTAATTAATGTGTTGACTGATTTTAGCGTTCTTACTAACTGGCTAAAAAGAAAAATCAAAAGCTAAATTGAACGCTACCATTATCAGGCCGTTCAGATTTTGACGATCTAATCAACGCGAATTACATCAACATCACAACTATTCGTCAACATGATTCGTTAATAATAAACCAATCGGAAAATGGCACCAAAATAGTCCCAAAAATCAAAAACTCTCTAAGTTTAATCTAATAAATATCTTTAAATAACTGCAAAAGCAATGATTTTTTGCTTAAATGAGTAGGGCATTTATAAGATAAACTAATCAAAGTACACAATGTTAATTAGCCAATTAAACTAGAGTGTTGTCAACAGTTTCGCACTAATAACACATTTTTAGACGAAAATTAAATATTCGCGCAATTTTTTTAGGTTGGCATAAACTAGGCTACTTTTTTGTGTAGACATTTAAACATTTTTGGCTATTGCATTTTTTCCTTAGCATATTTACTGCACAAACTAAGCTACATTATTAGGTAATACGATATTAGATATCTGTCGTCAGGTTCAGAAAAACAAAAAAGCGTCCATTTCATGGCTTGAAATTTTATTGCGTTTAACACTTAAAATACTCGATAAGGTTTATATGGTTCCCCAAAAATAATGCAGCATGTATATTCTCGTGAAAATTTTATGGCTTGAAATTTAACAATTTATTTTACAATGTAGAAAGTCTCAGATTCTAAATCCTACTAGTTTAGCTGATTTGCTGTAAATTGGAATGCCTAGATTCCATATCTTTGTCTCTTGAATGACCGTTACCTTTATTATTATGGCACTACGCGTACCTATTTGTCTGCGTTAACGTGTGTAGCATAAAAGGGTTTTAGTGATCCATTCCTTCGACAGTCCAAAAAGTATAAAAGGGAATTCCGGCTCACTATTTGGGATTTAAAATATCTCAATTGCTTGCATTTACGCATCTTTTGCAAAACATCTTATTTATGGTTAATATTAGGGATGCAATTAGTTTGAGTTTCGTTATTTTGGTTATTATTACCAAAATTATTTACCTTTCAACCAGTGTCATCGCCTCGTACAACTTTTAGACTGAAATCCATGCGTCTGCCGATATTATCGGAAAACTAATGCCAGAAATCAGGATGTGCTCTTGCTTTTTATAACAAGGCTAAATCCAGGATATTTTTAATCTTTTTTACATCCCGATGACACTAGTTGGTATAACATGTAGGTGAAAAATGTCTTATGCTAGACCATGATCACCTTATGATCAAGCTTTACAAATTTACATGGTCATGTGACGGGTAATCAACCAAATTTTCTTCAATTTTTCAATTATAAATTTAATGAACCTAGCTTATTACGATTTGCTCTAGTCGAAATGCGCAGTGAATTTTTGAATATAAATTTAGTTCTGTTTTCTTTAAGTCCTTTTGCAAGTGATCAATGGTGACACTGAATAAAATCATGCCTTGCACTAATAGGAATTAATCGAATCACCAGATCTGAAATTGCTATGGAGACACTATTAGACACCATTTGGTGATTGAATAGACGGGAGAGCTATTGCTACGAGGTATCAAAAACCGCATTATATGATCTGTTTCAATAGTTTACAAGATTAAAATAATCATGGCTTAATGCTCTAGCTTTGGGTTAGGATTATTGATTTCATTAATAAACAACTAACTTCCGGCTACATTAAATGCACACAATTATGACACCGATGAGCAGATCCGATAAACACAGCCATTAATTCTGATATTTATTTGATGGTGTCACTGCTGCCTGCAAATTAGCGTCTCTATAAAACTGACGTTGCTGAAAAAATCAATGACATGTGCTATAGGCTATATAGCTACCAGGTATCTCATATATCGTTGTTTGGCGCATTTGTATTGGTACACGGCTCTCATTCTAAAACACGCAGACGAAAACTTTTATTGCAATTTGCTTGAAATTCCAAGTTTTTCTTTATTTCCTGTTAACATTGTGAATGCATTTTTGATCAAAGTGAGGTGTTTAACTTGGACAGGTAAAACAAATTTGAATGTTGTTACATCATTTGAACACGAATAATTTGTAGTATATTTATTTTTGCTGCATTAATTTTCTTGCAGGGATCAATAGCAAACAGATTTTTTTCAGTATGACTGGTTTGAATGTTGGTATCGAGAAGGAATAGGTTTATAAATTCTGTGTTCAAATGCATGTTTCTTTGCATTTCTGCAACTGACCCCACGTAGATATGCGAGAATTCATTGTGTATTTATGAGCACATCAACACGTGCTTACTACTCAACCTATAAATAGTACGTGTATTATATACACGTAAAGTGTTCACCTGGAGTTGTAGGTAATTTGGCAGTTAGAAAAATTGTTCTATTATGCAGTTAATTAAATCAACTAGTAATAGAAACCTGATTTATGGCTCATCCTCATCTACATATCTTGGGAACAGAATTTCAATTGGTACAACTACCTACCAGTGTATGTGATGCTTCCTGTTTGCCACGTCAATGCTTGTTTTTTGTTCTATTTTACTACAGTTCAAGGCCACAGGTACCAATTCCATCTAAGATGACTTTACAATCGTCCATACATAATCCGTGCGTAAATTCTAGCGATTGCCTTGAAGACACTTTAAGAAGAACCGCTTTTTTATAAGTTAACATTTTGTCGCATTTCCGTCTCATTTAGTCCTTGGGTAGCACTTGTTGCATTCCGCCATTTTCAAAGATCAAATTTTGCTCTCATCCTTTCAGGGGAACGCAAAACTAGGCACGAAATCAAGTCCAAAAAAGTGATGTAGATACTCGGAATGTTGCTGTGGGAAAAGTCCATTCCTCCAACAGTGACTCTTTTGGTTTTAATGCACCAGTACCAGATATCTCGATGCAAAACTGTACATTACAGTTCTACCTAGCGAAATTGTTGGTATCAGTTAAATTCCACATAGTTGTGAACCATGGCATTACTTACTATGAGGGAACACAATTGCAAAAATATCAGCAGTCGTATTTTCGAAATGAAATAAAATCAAGCCAAATAAGCATTAATTGCCAACTATTTGATCAATAAGATTTTTGTTAAACTACATAGCGCTCGTAGTAAGCGGCAATAAAGTTGTTTACATCTCAGATTAATTTAGATTCGGTGAATGACAGGCATACCTGAACCACTATTGCACACCCGTTTTGTTGAATACGGCACCTTTTTTACGCCTGTAACTCCAACCTTAAATGCCTTATTTATTCATATGAAATTAGCAATATTTGTGGTTGGTTGGTCTCCAATCTGTGACAAATCACCCTTCAGTGGAAAATAAGCGTGAAAAACAAATCTTTGTTACAGTGGTCCTCAAAGCGTTACTGCTAAACCTTATTTCCTAAAAACTTTTTACGTACGCACGCGTAGTAAAGAAGGCTCGAGTCCAAGTGTGAATTAGACTGGTACAATAGAACAGGCTTTTTTGACCAATCACAAGCCAGGACCACACGTTAGGCGCCCTCCATCCGAGTCCCCCACGCTAGCCACGCGGTTCACTATATTTTGCACCTCATTCAAGTCTTTCTCTGGTTGGCTGCCTATCTTCCTCGCATGTCATTGCGACACAGGGAGACACAGGATTGGCTGAGTCTAGGTGGTCCAATATGTCTGCGCCCTGACCCGACCCTACTGTATAATACCCGAGCCCTTATAGGAAAAAGACAGGTACAGCAGAACAGGCTTTATTGACATATAACAAGCCAGAGCGACACGTCAGGCGTCTTCCATCCGAATCCTCCACACTGGTCACGCCGCTCAATATATAAAGCTCCTCACACGTGTCTTTCTATGGTTGGCTGCATCACTACCTTGCATGCCATTGGAACGCAGATTGACACAGGATTGGCTGAAGTCAGCGTGGTCCAATATGTCCGCGCCCTAATCCGACGCCACACTACGCCACAGTAGTGGATCGTGTTGGTTCACGTTCATTAGCCCTGTCGATGTAGCCTCAGACACGCTGCACTCCTCTCACGCCACGCTGGTCAAATATGCGGGACTGCACATGCACCACCACCACTACCCGCTTTGTCCATCTAACCGTTCAGACGTCTGTATTTTAATTAGTTCACCTTGACCGTATCAGTCCAGAACAACACACGAGTTATGCACACGGCGCAGCATTAGGTATCTAGCAAACGTTTGTGCCTCACCCGCTCTGGTCCTCATCTTAGCGTGTATCACAGTGGGCTAGATTCAACGCAGGAGCCTCGTTGAAAAATTGGCGTACTTGACGTCAATTCATGGCTTCAAATTAAATTTACTTCCGAGTGAAAATACACACCTTTCACAAGCTTGGCAGTCTACGCTAACCAACTTAGCAATTGTCAGCCTGTAATGCAGTAGATGTTAGTTCACATCTCTCATAAAAAAAGCATTTAAAAGATCTCTCTTATTTACAGCTCACAAGCTCCGGTAGCTATAACTAACACCATAATCGCGGGTGCAAAATCCCTATTGGGGGAAAAAAATCCGTTATTGGTTTCAAGTGTGACTTTTTAGTGAATCTGTTTTTTGCTTGTCTGGTTTCGCGAAAAATGAGCAACTGACTCCTTCGTGGACATTCATTTCTCAGTCGTTAGCTTTATCTCTAGGTAAACTGCCGTAGTACAAGTGCTCTGCAACGTTCCTAATTTCATGTGTACCACGTTCAGTTTGAGTGGAAAAAAATTATTCGAAAAAAGCAAACAAAAACAGTTGATAACTCGCTGGTTATTTCTGGGCCCAAAGTCGGAAATATTCATCGGTGCTATGCATAATTGACCGGCTAAAATGATATCGGTTGGCTGAAAATAAAAGCTCTGCATAATTAAACATGATGCTCTAGTTTTCCTGAATTTGTCCATTGTTCTTATCAACGGACATGCTTTCAGGAAACGGAACATGACATGAGCAATGATTGTATTGAAGTCCCTTTAGTCATGTTGATAAGCAATATGGGCTCTTTATGGCTTATTAAGGTTAATTTAACCAATCGTTGTTCTCCTAAATCAA